TGCATTTGGGAAATTGTGAACTGGCCCCTTCAACACAGTGAGTAAAGAAAGGTCTTTAACTCTGAATTGGACACCTTGGCTTCTGGAGCTGTGTCCCAGACTTCTTTTTCTTTTTTTTTTTTTTTTTAAAAAAAAAAGATTTTGACATCTGCATCTCTCATTCATTCTCAACAATTACAATTGTATTCGCTCTTCATATAGCTGTAGGTCATACAATAGTTTATATTCTCCCTGAATATGAGTTCATTGTAAGTGATTTAATGTGACAGGAGAGAGAAAATTGTGTTGGCAGACTGTTACTAAATGTAATTACTCACCAGATCCAACCCCAATCAATTAACCACAGTATTAAACAACATAAATTCTGGATTATTTTCTATGAGAAAGGTTGCTACTCCTGTTTCTTCTCAATTAACAATTTCACTTTTTTCATCTACTATGCAGTCATAGCCAATAAATCTGTGTTGATTTGTTATAATCATGCTTTATATTTACATGGCAATTGCAATTTTTAAAGTACTTTCATATCTACTCACTCATTTCAGCTCCATCATTCAATAACTCATTAATGAAAGCGGATAACATTACTGCCACCTTTTTAGGTGAAAAAATGAAACTTGGAGAGGTCAATGGCTCATCCAATATCCCTTGGACATTAGCAACCTTAGATATATATTTTTTTTTTCTGAAAACTCCTAAATATAACATATGAAGAAGCCAAGACTTCGAAAATTTCAGCAATTTGTCTAAAGTCACACACCTAGAAATTGGCAGAACTGGGAACTGAACAGTTTTTGTCTCCTGGCCCGGTGCAATACTCAAATTATATTGAAATTCCTAACAAGTAGAAACAATACAAAAATCACATATTTATTGGAAAAAAATATGCTTTAACAATGTCTATCTACCAAGTCTATTACAACTTGTCTTACTTTTGGTAAACCTAAAATTTTTAGATTATATCTACAAAATGTCAAGAGAACTTATAAAATTAAAAACTTTAATTACTTGTTTAATCAACATAACACAAAATACATTTTACTTTGTTTTGTTTTGTTTTTTGAATGTATGCTCTTTATGTTCTTAATTCTAAGCCACCTCCTTCTTCAGTTTAATCTCCACGCCCAACACTATAACTTCATATTATTATCTCACTCCACTTGTCTACCACTGTCAGGAGCCTGGACTTGTGTGTTTTCTCTCTGCCATCCTTCTTGGCCAGACAGCCTTATATATTTTCAATTCAACATTATATCTTTTTATCCCCAACACATGTTTTGTTCTGTTTTAATGCTCCTTTTAGGTTCTTCATTTGATACTTGTTCTTACTCCATAAACTCTGCTCACTTCATTTGTTCCACATCTGTTTACATTTGGACACCTATCTTGTATCTCACTTATTCCAGTATATCTGTTCAAACTACCCAGTTCGTTTTGATGCTTCCTATTTTAAAATGCTTAAAACACATCCTTTTGGAGAAAATGAAGTGTGACCAAAAATAAGATATCACCTACCATTTTCCAAGCACCATTCAGAGATCTTTACACATGTTATCATCCTTAATCATTATAACAGCCCATTTTTAGTAGGTTCAGGAAAGTTAAATAAGTTAGTGAGGTTCATTAAGTTAGAGAGCTAGTATTGGAAACCAGATTAAAATAATACTACTAATAATATTAAAAATAATTATAATAACATTAATAACATTGCTGTTAAATTATTTCTATACATAAGAGAGTGCTAAGGGATTTACATATATTATGGAATTTTACAATCACAATAACAATCATAATAAATAACACTAACCCCACTATACTGATAAGGAAAATAAGGCAAAAGTAGTTACTCATGCTACTTGAAGATTTATAACTTATATGTAGTGAAGCTTGGACTTGAACCAAACCAGATGATTTTATAGCTCTTGAACTTTTAACCATGTTAATATACTTCAAAGAACATATATATATAGCAGTACACCATGATTTATTATTAGATTTATTATCTGTTTGACTCATACATTCTGTATCACACTTTCTTAAAGATTAAATAGTCTTCACTCTTCACTTTATAATTGTCTTGGGAGTCAGAGTGTCCTTTAAAATAACAATAATTTATGAATCACTTCTAAGTGCTAAGCCTTCCTCACACATATTAATTCAAATTTCTGACCTTGCACTGTAATTTTAAGTATCTAAATTTTATAAATATAGAAACCAAGGTCTGTAATTACACAACAATAGTGGCCACCCCACAATCCAAATATTGTTCTATTGCTAAGTCCCTACTTTCCACTGTTCACCACTATCTCTCTTCCATTAATAATGTGGTTATAACATTGTTGGCAATCGATACATATTTGATAGTGGATCTTTAGCTTCTGCCTGATTTTGCTGAAACTGAAAGATCTTTTTTTGTGTAATTACATTTTCCTAAACATAAATCATAGGAGGTTGTGAAAATTCCTTTCCTCTACTCATGATTTATAATTCATGTTAATGAGAAATCCTACTGAGTATAAAATGAAAATCATATTTAATTATATATTTAGAAATTTACTTACTTTGAAAATAAATTATACAACATTATGACTCTCTAATCAGTGTTGTGACATATGGCCATCATATAGTCAACAGCCTAAGTTTGATAGTATAGAAATGATTAATAAACACATTTTATAGGTGTAAGAAAGATAGAAAGCAAGCTCTTACTAAATACTTGTTAAATAAGAAGTTAAAAATTTCTTATGCACTCAATTATGCATTCAGTATTAAAACTAATTAACATTCCTGCCATTATTGCACCATCTTGAACAAAAAAATCAGATTCTACAAGCCTCTCAAATTCTTTGTCAAGGTGATCTTCTCTTCTTCCTTTAGGAGATTATTAGCAGAAAAATGACCAGGCAAGACTAGACTCTGTATCTCTCTCAGTATCAGTAAGTACATTGTGGAGAAAAGAAACAGAAATAATGCCAGATGCATTTTTAATGTATCATTTTATTTAATATTTATAACACTCCTGCAAAGCAGCTATTATAATAAATTAACATTCAATTAAATTGAGCCTAAAATGTAGCAACTTGCCACACAACAAAGTAGTGGCAGAGTGGGATTTACTCTCTATTTTAAACTCTTTATTGTGCTCTCACCAGTTGTTATGTTCTTTCCCCCTTTGATGTAAAATAGATGTGTCAGTTAACCATGTCCACAAAATGCTACATAACAAATCAATGTGAAACTTAGTGGCTTAAAACAACAATCATTTATCTTTAGGGATCTGCAGAGTGTCTGGGTCAGCTGCTCTGACCTGAGCTTATCTGTGGTGTCATCTTCCACAAGTCTCATACTCCTCCTGGGACCGGCAGGCTAGCAAAGGTATATCTGGTGATGGCAGAGGCATATGTGTGAGCAAACTCAATTTAAGAAGTGTTTTATCTGTACCATATTTCTAACATACCATTAGTTAAAGCAAATCACACAGTATCACCCAGGGGTGAGACATTACACTGCACACACAGTTGAGGACACTTTAAAATTACTAACCAAATAGCAAATCTATGTAGAGGGATGAAGAATCATGGTGAGAATGCAATTTAACACAGAAAGAGATAAACACTGGAAAGCTTGATAAAGATACAAAGTTTGGGCTATCTCCAGAGTTTAAATTCCTTTGATCTGGGTTTAGGCACCAAAATACATATTTTAACAAGTACCCTTGTGATTCTAAGGAGTGACCCATACTTTGAAAAATACTCTTCTATGTAGCATTTTTTTTTCTTCCTAATATATGGCTCCTTGTCAGTTCTCACAGAAATATGTTATTTAATATACCAACCAATGGACCCAATCTGCTAAAAATGTCATGTCTGGGACTCACCAGTCAGAAACTCAGATTTCTGCCCTAGCTCCTGAGAAATCCCATCATGAAATATTTTTATAATTGATTTGTTATTAATACTACAATGATATCTTGACACTGTACCAAACACACAATACAATTGCTGTATGTGATATGTTAATTGCTAACCCCAAAAGAATTATCAAGTGCAACCTTACTTTGGAGCTTATAATACAAGATGAAGAGAAGATATATATCTATATCTATAGATATAGATATATATAGATATATAGAGAGAGGCAAATGCGGCAAAATGTTACAAAGTAACAGCAACATGGATTTCCCATTCTTTTATGTTCTAAGTTTTATTTGTATAAAAATCTATGAAGGCTCTATTACCTTGATAAGGAAAAAAATACTGGGCAAAGTAGAATTTGATGAAAATATAAAACAATTGGTGCTCATATTTCTTCAAAATTATTTCTGAAGGTCTCGCCTTCAACATGCTCTCTTAATTTTATGATTTTATAGTGAGGGGTATTCTACAAGGTGCTAATCTCTAATGCTTTGTAAGTTAGAATTTCCTAGGAAGAAAGCC